GTATGGTGGACGGCTTTGTACGTCAGTGTTAGGATTTTGGTTAGAATATTTGTCAGGTTTTTTTTTTGTTTGGGGTTTTTTCGCTACCTCTTTCCCTGTTAAGGAGATTCGCTTTCTGTATTTCTCCTTTTTACCATTATCACCAAATGTGAAAGTAAAAGGAAATTTAGAATTTTGGTTGTCCCCAGAACAGTGATAGAGGGGAAATCTTCCAGGGGTTATAACTCTCCCTTACTCTATCCAAAATTAAAATGCTTTAACACCCCATCTTCCTGGCAAAAAGTTCCTGTGGTAAAAAAAAACAAAAAGCAAGTATAATCTGTATTTTCATGGAAAGGTTTCTTCACAGTAAGAGCTGTGAAAATGTGGAATAGACTCCCCCAAGAGTTGGTTCTGGTCAGCTCAGTGGATTGCTTTAAAAAAGGCCTGGATTCTTTCCTAGATACACAGAATATAACTGGGTACTAACATTTATAGGTAAAGTTGGTCCAGGGAATATACGATTGCCTCTAGGGGGATCAGGAAGGAATTTTTTCCCTGCAGGAGCAAATTGGATCATGCTTTGCTGGGTTTTTTGCCTTCCTCTGGATCAACTCTGGGTATAGAATTATAACTTTTTTTTTTTTTTTTTTTTTTTTTTTTAATGGTTGAACTGGATGGACTTTTGTGCAGATTAACTATGTAACTATTTTGTGCATGTTTACATGTGTATAGACACATAAACATCTGTATACATATAGGCACGTAAAAATTCTCAGGTGCTTCTTCTTGCACCCAGGATTGAAGGGGGGAACACATATGTTAATTCAATACTGCAACCAGCCGTTGCATATTTCAGCTTGCCGTAGATTTTGCAGGGCTGGACGTTGCACGTGTCTCCCAGGAGCACGGAAATGTTGGGCTTTGATACACAGGGACTATACACGCCCAATATGCACAAGTCCTAATACTTCCCTCCCTGGCAGGTGGCACAGGTGGAACAAATTTTGCTTTGTTCTTGAGCTATGGGGCCATTCAGCACTTCATATTGGTGATTGATGTATATATTGAATTGTTTTAGTGTCTTCCAACATGATCGAGAAGTCAACAGTAGAAACTGCAGTACAAGAATGCAGCCGGTCCTGTGATGAAACAATGTAAGCTAACCTTCCTTGTCTCATATTTACGCTTCTTGTATATACTCTTGTTCATGTTTATATTTGTTTTTTTTTTTGTTTTGTTTTTCTTCTAGAGAACACATATTCAATATTATTGGAGCATTTGATATCCCACGTTTCATTTACAATTCAGAAAGGAAGAAGTTCCTCCCGTGAGTAACTTTCTATGTTTTTCAGATGGCAGCTATGCGGCAATATATTGTGCATGTCTTTGTACTCTCAATAAAGCTTTGGGCCTATGAACTCTTTCCCCTCCCTCATCCCTCTTTCCTATCCCCTATTAGACTCGGTGCTTATTCAATTGTTTTTGAAATGTTGCGTGGTTTGTTTTAATTGCGGTGCCATGCAGAATATGCAGGACAGGGGTCAAACTCCGGTATTGCACGTCTGACATTGCTCCACTAGGTTGTTTTGTTGTAATTTCCATTTAAAAATAAAATTACTTTTTTTTTTTTATCACATAGGGGACAAAAAGGTCCCCTATGTGATGATTTTTTGGGTGACAGATTCTCGTTTTTGAGACATTCAGGACCTGGACCCTGGATGTCTCCCCTGTTCTCCACTGAATGTAATGCGGTGCATATTGCTCCGCATTACATTTTTTCCAGGCCTCAATGATCGGGAATGTGTTGAACAGGGACCTATAAGTGACATCACATCACTTACGGGTCAGGAGAAGAAGGGGAGGGGAGCAGATGTGTCCACTCTCCACCCTCCCCTATACCACATCCCGCGGCACCCACCGAACCAGTCCCGGGCCCGCAGATGGACAAGCGAAGGCCGGGACATATAGCGGGCAGGGGGGAGGAGGCTGGTACTATGGGCTGTGTGGAAGCAATCGGGCGGCTGCACTGCCGTCCGAATGCTTCCACCTGACAGGTGAGCCCTGCTACTTGTCCGCAGCAGGGATAAAGGCAAAAAAAAACATACCTGCCCAGTGCCTGGAACTACATGTCCAGGGCATCGAGCGATAGGAATTGCACATCCCTGTAGGGTATTCATGTGCTGCATCACAGTAAAAAATACAATGTTTCCTAATTAAGTATTTTGTTTTTTATATATTTTCTATAAAGTAAAGTATATTTTTTTCCAACAAAAAAAATCAATGTATTGTGAAAAATAACTGTTCCCTGGTTTAGCTGCCTTTTTAAATTGTTTTCATTGTATTTTATTCTTCATACCTGGTTGTTTATGTGCTCATAAAGCTTGAGTCAAAATTCCCCAAAAACATCAATGTCCAGGAAATCCTGAGGGGAAGAGAGGCAATACAGCCTGCATGAGTTCTGTGTGGAGCATAACATCTCAAAACTGTTTACTTGCTCATGCTTGCAGTAGACTGTATGTATCACATGTAGGGGTGCACAGATCAAATTTTGACGAATTCTTGGTGAATCAGTCATAATTTATTGCATGGGTGGCTCTGTCGGCAGCAGGTGACGCAACAAAAGCTGATTGAAAAATCAGCTTTTGTCGAAAGAGGAGGGTGGAAAATTCTCAACTAAGCAGTAACTGCCTCCAATCAGATACAGACACTTTCGGGTATATAGTAGCAGGTACTGCAGATTTGTCCATCCGTGCTGTTTAGTGTGGATTGGGGGAATCAAGTTTTCTCTTGTTTAGCCAGAGGGGCTGAATGAGAGAAATCTTAATGCGTATAGCCAGCTTTAGGGCCTCCTCCACATAAGGTAATAGAACATATCCAATATGCAGGTCTATGTAAATGTTATAGCATGGATTGTCTTGTAGATACACAAATAGAGATCAAACAGATTCTCCAGCTCAGCGCAATGAATTTATTTTTCCCAGAAAACTGATGGCCAGCAGGTATCTTCCTACAGCCAGAGACATACAATTCTTGTTCAATCCAAAATATAGTGTCCAGCCTTTAGGTAGTAGAAGTATAATGCAACTTTTAACTGTGACTTTTTAACTTCAGTATACATGTAAATGTCTTCTGGATTGCTTCAGTTGTTCACTAATTTACTTGTTGCCTGACATTGCTAATTGGTGAATTCCAATTTTGATTCCACAGCTTAAAAATTGCCAGCTATCCAGAACCCAATCTGTTTGGAAGGGCCAGAGACAAAGCTGAGCTATTCCGTGAGAGATACACCATTCTGCAACAGGTGAGATGTAAGCCCGGTGAATTGTCAAGTCCTTTATTATTCTGGGCCACTTTTATCATTAGGGTAGATTTACAAAATCTGGTGCAACTCAGCATGATAGCCAATCCGCTTCTAATGTTAGCTTGTTCAATTAAGCTTTGACATTAAAACCTGGAAGCTGATTTGGTTTCTATGCACAACTGCACCAGATTTTGCACTCTTCAGTTTTAGTAAACCAACCCCATTGTCTAAAAATTGCTTGACCTTCTGTACTGCCCGTAGCAGCCAATTGAAACTGTCTCATTTTTCCAATATAATGTGGCAGAATGAAATAGGTAATTTGTTGCTGTGGCCATCACAGACAAGGATAATTCTTCCCTGAGAGGCTTTGATAAAGCAGCCTTACTTTCATTACATAGTAACGATTGGTCTGCTGTTTTGGCTTTTGCAGTTCTTTTTGGTGGTATGGTATTATTTATTACCAGATAAACATTGCCTGTTGGATGCCTAAAGTGCTCTGATTGTACAATGGGACCACAGGTAGGTAAGTCTGGTGGCAGGATTAGCATTGCAAGTAGAGTTCTGTGATTCAGCTAACTTTAAATATTTCATTTGGTCCATGCTGGCCCAAACTCTGTTACTTAGAGTGCAGCTATTGGGTATACTGTAATATATTGTAGTAGCATTAGCTAAACACAATAAGTGTTGCTTTGTTCTGGCAGAGACGGAGAGGATGACATCATGATTTCCACCTCAGCCAATCAGAGGAAGACTTGTATTTAATGCTAAAAATACAAGGCTTCTACTGAATGGTGGAGGAGCACTCCACTTGCCTTTCTTTCATTCTGGCAGCGGGAAGTTTCCCATTCTGCGGCTAGAACACAGCACCACTTACTGTATGTAGCTAATGCTACTACAGTGCATTACAGCAACTGCGTTGTTTAGTAATGGAACTTTTTTTTTTTTGGTCCAAACAAACTATTTAAATTTAATTGATACCCGGATTTCTACTTGAAGGGGATGTCCACTCCATGGAAGTGGAAAGCGCCCGTCTTCAAAGATGTACACAAGGAAATTATTTATTTTATTTTTTTTTTGGTGAAGAAAGCAACACAGTGGCTTAGTAGTTAGAACTCCTCCCTTATAGTATTGGGGTCCTTGGTACAAATCTCCACTAGGACACTGTCTGCATGGAGTTTACATGTCCTTGAATGGGTTTCTTTCCGTACTTAAAAGACATGCCGGTAAATTAATTAGCTCTTGTCTAAACTGGCCTTATTATGTGTTTCTAGTAATTATGTATGCATGTGCAACAGGGACCATGGAGTCTTAGCTCCTTGTGTATGTATAATATATAAAGCGTTGCATAAATTTTGTTTTTCTATATAAATACCTGTAATTAAGGGGGGTAGTAAAGGCATTGTAAGCACATATGTTGTATATTCAGGGTATAAAGGCTGAGAAGTTCACAATAAAATACTTAAAATGATTACTGTTTGATGTGATATATAAATACAATTCCTGTTTTCCTGTGATAACAGAGAACACACAGACATGAGCTCTTCACCCCCCCTGTAATTGGCGCACACCCAGATGAGAGCAGAAGCAAGTTCCAGGTACACTGATAGCCCAAGGATCTTTGCATATTAATGTCATAATGTGTAATCCCTGAATTCTGGATGTATCTTCATTTCTGCAGCTGAAAACTGTGGAAAACCTCCTGGGCAGCGCAGCAAAGATGGGAGGTCATTGTTCTTGGAATGATCACCCAGCTGAAGGAGGTGAGGTTTTTTTTTCTTCAATGTTATATGTCACATCTTGATAACTGCTGGTTATGCAGCCAATTGTGGTTTTTTAGTTTAAAGCAGTTCTAAAGCTTAAACATTTTTTTACCCAAAAAGTGGTTGTAAAGGCTCAAGGGTTTTTTTTATCTTCATGCATTCTTTGCATGAAGGTAAAAAACCTTATGTATGCAGCATCCCCCCCAACCCCCCCTTATACTTACCTGAGCTCCATCTCGATCCAGCGATGTGCGCAAGAGCATTGGCTCTCCTTGACCTATCAGGTGCCATGTTCTTAAAAGAATAAAAAAAAGTTAATATCACTTAATGCACTCCTAGCCTAACTCTCATTTTCATTCGATCTAGCGCTGTGCATGTCTGCAGCTCTTCTCTCCCCTTACTCACAGGCTGTGCTCTTAATCAAAGCCAGCGATGACAGAGTGAGGGATGGAGCCATGTCCCGCTGTCTGTGTCAATGGAGTGAGCCCACATGAGTGCCCCCATAGGAAGCTTCCTATAGGGGGCACTAGCCAGAGAGGAGTCGGGAGCGCCAGCAGTCGACCCGAGAAGAGGAAGTTTGGGGCTGCTCTGTGCAATTCCTTTGAACAAAGCAGGTAAGTATAGACATGTTTGTTATTTAAAAAAAAAAAAAAAACCCTTTACAACAACTTTCTAAAAGCATAGGTTCCGGGAAACAGACGGCACTTGCAAGTATCTGGACTCCTTTTTAAGTTTCAAATTTTTTCCATCATGTTGAAAAATCTTTTTGATCAAACACCAGTTTTCCTCTTCACTCTTAGGGAAAGCAGCACAAATGAGGAAATAAACTTTTTAACTATTTTTTTTCTTCTAAAGCTTTATATGTGATTATTTGCAATTACTACAGCTCTTTTTATTATTCTCTCTAAAGGGAAAGTATTTCTTAGAAGATCCCACTGGGGCTGTTCAACTTGATCTCAGCAAAGCAATATCCTTTTTATGTCTTGTCATTAAACAAGCTAATAAGTGAAAAAAATCTGTCACATCTTTAATAATCTAATAATATTACACTTCAGCATCTGTACTTAAAGGCTAAGTTCACTTTTTTTTTTAAGAAATCCCAGCTACCCTATATACCAATTATGTACCTCGGCTGCAGAAAAATAAAAGCTCTCCTTGATTTTGAGAACAGGGCCTTACCTTATCCCTTGCTACATTTCTTCGAAAGCTTCATCATTTCCTGGTAGCCATAAATTTTTTTTCTATCTTAATTTCATCTTGCATAGACCTTTCATTTTTCAGAGTGTGCAGGAGCTGAGCGATCAGATAACTGCCTATGTGTATAGAGCTGTAGTATTGAAAACCGGAGAAGTGTGTCCTGGGTTCTGTAAAGCTCACCATACACTGTACAATCTCCCTTAGATCTACCATCAAATATGGATTGCAAGGACCTGCTTGATTGGATATAGAGTGATAGATGATATGTCCTCCTATGATATAGTTTTTTGTAAATATAAAGGAGCTTGTACAATCAGATTGTATAGTGTATACCTCTATATACCTAAAATAACTAGTTGTGCTTTCTGTGCCATTAATTAACGGTCAAGTGAATGGACTGTCCTATGCGCGATAAATAAAAACATTCCAAAACGTGGGAATGTGAGTTTTCACTACGTGGAGATGTGAACGGGGCCTGACAACTGAGCATCTTCGTCCACTCCCTCCTATGTACTTGTATAAAGACGGCCATACAATATGCAATCCGATTGTACAATCTCTGTGCAATTTTCTTTAGATTTGCAAGAACTATGGAATAGGAGGACACACCTGAACAATCTATTCAATTTGTATCAAATCAGACAGGCCCTTATGCTACACATCATTTTTTTTTTCAGCAGCCCCTAAACTCTCCCTAATGTTTTGCTATTTGTCCATGTACACAGTCGTTTACAGGCAGTTGAGTTTACAGTCGTTTTTTTTTGAACGCACAAAACTTGCGTTCAGGAGTAGATTTTACCGCCGTTTCAAACGCTTGTAAACGTGGTTAACTGCGTTTATAAGTGTTTGCTAACTGTTCCATGTCCAGATGCTGCCCAGAGCCTTTTTTCATCATCAGAAATGCAAACAAAGCATTTTCCATGTATTCAAATGGACCCGGTACACCAGCGCAATCAGTTTCAGGTTTCGAGTGAAGGAAAAAAATGGTAGAACATCTTGCATTATGCTCCTGATGGGATCCATAATGAATACAACCAGAAAAGTCCGGTCATCTCAACACATACTGCTCTCTCTGCTTCTGCTCTCTCTATTCCTCTCAAAATGTCTGAAATAGTTAATTTTTTACTATTTTTCAGTGCATTCTGGAAGGTCTCCTGAGGTTATCTTTTAAAAATGCTTCTAAACGCAAACCTGCATAAACACGGTATGCAAACGTGGCTAAACTGACTTTTTTTAACCTTTGTTTTCCAGCAGTCGGTTTCCATCGTTCAGAAGAGTTTTCCAAACGCCCCATGTGCATGGGCTCTAACATGGACAGTTCTGTGCTCTAAACTCAACCCCTAACTAAGCTTAGATCTACTCCTACCTCCATTCTAAGTCTATTCTATCTACCCTGTAAAAGGGAAGATATGGATACTTACCTATACTAAAGTTGGTCCGGTTACATGAAAGGTTTCTAGTGCTGGCCTCACTGTTGAGAGGGACAGCCGACAACAGCTGCCCCATAGTTAGCCTATTGGTGATGTCATCACCCAGGCTATGCAGCCATTGTCGGTAATCTCTCCTCTTCACTGAAACTGATGCTGGAGAGATCATGTAATCAAACCTGAGCAACTTCAGAATAGGCAAGTATAGACATCTTTCTTTTTACAGAGTAGATATAATAGGTATAGAATGGGGGCTGGGGTGGATTTAAGCTTAATGTTTGACTTGCCTTCTACTTTAATTTTTCTAGTCAGTAAATCCCAAGAGGCAGGAGTGGCTGGGAGCTGAACAGTTGTAAGCAATACTGATGTACAAAGGTTTTAAAAAAATTCTTGACCTTCGAAGACAGGCGTAGAACCCAATAACTTGTCCTGAAAATGTACTGCTATTGCAAATATAAAAAAAAAGTATCATGAACAGTACTCAATTGAACAGTTGCAAGGAAATTCATGAGAGTGGCAGACAGCCTACATTTGTTGTGTAAAGAAAGCATCCCTGTATTGTGTCTGTAAAGGTTTTCATTTGTCCAGGTCATAGGATAAGGTTCTAGCTATGCATCCTCAGATGTCTTGGACTTAACTCTAGAAGCCTGTGCTTGGGTTCCATTGTAAAGCGTCAAAAGGGCCAGTATGATTTTACACAGGGGCTAAAACACAACTGATAAATGTGTGGGTGAGACACTCACTTTATCATGTATGCTTTGAGACAGAAAGTTAATGAAGTTTAAAGGCTAAGTTCACGTTTTCTTTTTCCTAAATTCCAGCTCCCCTGTGTACCAATATTCCATTAATATACCTCTGCTGCAAAAAGATAAAAGCTTTCTTTGATTTTTTGGACAAGGCCGTACCTTAGCATCCAGCCTGGGCCTGTTTCGAGGGGTGCTGGGGATGCCGTGCAAACATAGCAACTGTGGCAGCCTTCATTGACAAGCCAGGCAAATGCACAGCTGCAGGGATGCCGTGCAAATGTAGTTCATGGGTGAAGGTGTGTGTGCTAATGAGGTCAGCTGATGATTTACTTCCTGTGTCTTACTGGTTGTCACGTCCCAAATCTACATACCAGGAAGTGATGAAGTTTTCTATGAATACAGCAGGGGCTAAGGTAAGGCCTTGTTCTAAAAAAAAAAATGAGGTTCATTATATTGGTAGATATGGGGAGCTGGAATTTAGGGGAAAAAAAGGTGAACTTAGTCTTTAACTGTTTGACATGAAAACTACCTGCTGAGATCCTGGAAAGAGTGCGTGAATTTACAGAACTAGCTGAGCTAGCCAAATGCTAAGAGCAAGGAAAGATAGATCAACAAGTTCACCAGTTACTGTGAACCAGCAAGAACAGAACAGGGGAGTTATCCTGGAGAAGAAAGATGAAAGGCAGAAAACCCCAAAGAAATAAGGACATTTGTATAAAAAAAAAAACCTATCAGACACAGAGCTTACTTGGCCAAAATACAAAATCTTAACCAAGAGACTGAACTTTGCTGTGGCACCCTGATGGGTTCCTGTGGTGGATATTATCACAGCTACTGATTCTTCCATCTCTAACAACCACATATTGGTAGAAGAGGCTGAGCAACTCCATCTGTGGGTCCCAGCGGTCCTGTCCAGTGACAAAGCATCTTTCGACTTGACCCAATTAGAGAAGAGAGCTCTTACATTGTTTAGTATGGATCCAAACATTACCATCCAGGCAGGGGAGATGTACTGATGTCATAAATACATTGAATTATCAGTGGAAGGTGACCAATCTGCTCAGTGATGTCAACAATTATGAGCTATGTAGTTACAAGAAAATGAGGTGATAGATTGGTTTCAACAGCTAGAAAAGATAAGTCCTTAATCAGACCTTGCACTGCTGTCTCTATCCCAGAAATGCTACATGGTGCCTGTATGGACTCCCCAAGATACACAAGAAGATGCTCCCTAAGACTGATTGTCAGCAGTATCAATTCTGTTACATATAACATTGCTGAGTATCTGGCTACTATTTTATCACGCTAAGGCTCCTTTCATGTGGAGGGTTCAATCAGGTCCACTTGTATTTTTTTTTCAGGTCCATGCATGCCTATGGACAGGTGGGGTATAAATAAACTTGTGTCCACGTACAACCGCCTATGTTCTGCCAAAAAATAAATAAATAAAGGGAAGGGATCCGTATTCTTCCGATTTAAGTGGATCAGATTGGAGGGTAGTCTGCCGACAGAGCAGAGCAGGCTCTGTCCGTGTTCACTAAACAGTTCATAAACTGAGCTGACACTGTTCTGTCATCCGCCTGCTCTGCTCTGATCAGCAGGGGATCTGTGACCAGATGACCTGCTGATTGAAACGGAGTCCACCCCCCTGCTTTGAACTCCACGTAGTCTGTTTTGTCCTTGCTCATACCTGTAAGTTATTGAGAACTGTGAACATGCACATGAGTGCTAGCGTGTAATCTTTGATATAATTCCTTCTGTGTCTGTTCTGTGCAAGTAAATCAAGGAATTTGCTGAAGTGTTTCATGTACTCCATTTTTATGCACCTATTCCTAAAAAAAAAAAAAAAAAAAATGTACCTGTGCTTTTAGATGTAAAAGATAAGTGGCAGTGTCCTTTTAACCTGTACAAATACTTCCCCCATGTGGTTACCAACTTTATGGAAGGATAAGAATTAAGAGAATTGTCATGACAAAAATACCTTTTGTGCTGATGCTTTTGCCTATGAATTTATTTTAATCCTCAGTTTGTTGGAAGGATTCCTTTCTTTGTTATACTATTACCTCCTTATGTGCATAGTTTTGTTATTGTAAAACATCATCTCTGAATGTATCTGCTGCAGCATTCCCTTAACTCCACTGCACCAGTTCCACAGCGGCCTTTATACAGAATCTTGTTTTGTATTAGCAGAAGGTAATGTATCCATTCTGTTATGATGTAATTGTAATTGCTTCCTATATCAATGTCAAAGAAAAGTGTTACATGTGATTTTGTTTCTATATAGGGTGGTACGAGGATAAAATATTTCATGTCAATGCATTTGGATTTCCACCTACTGAACCTTCCAATACAACAAGGTGAGGGACTTAAGTATAGCTATCATATTCTTCTCAGTATAGAATTCCTTTAATATAAATTGTGGGTAATACACTGCAACAAATCTTCACAGAAACCTTGACACGTGGGATGAAAAAGAATCTGCTTTCTGAAAGCACTGCAAATTCCTTTCCTACAGCTGTACCTGTATTATGGGAGAGATTTTAACTGCAAATGTGGGTTTGGATGGATTGGTTGATGTAATGAAGCACCCCACCAAACTTTGTACTGACACTTTAACCACTTGCCGGCCGCAGATAGCTGAATGACGGCTTCACTGCGGCTTGCCAGTTCTGGGAGGGCATGACATCCTCCCAGAACACGCCCTCCTGCGTTCCCCCGGCGATCTTCGTGATCGCTGTGTCCCAATCACAGCGTCCTTTTACCATGTGATCAGCTGTGTCCAATGACACAGCAGATCAGCGGTAAATACAGTTGCCAGTTATCGGCTGCAGTTCCCTCACACCGTCACAGCGTGAGGAAAGTATGCCAATAACCGGCAATTGTCAGAGGAGGGATCGGCACCGATCATCAGTGCACTGAAGATCAGTGCCGCCCAGCAGTGCCACCCACCTGTGCCCAGCTGTGCCGCCAGTCAGTGCCCAGCAGTGCCTATCAGTGCAGCCTCATCAACGCACATCAGTGAAGGAGAAAAATTACCGGTTTGCAAAATTTTATAATAGAAACATTGAGATAAATCAATAAATATCATCTACTTGTGCTAACATAATACTGTGTGTTACTAGGTTCTCGTATGTCCATCGACCTTTTGTGCTCCTTTTACAAACATATAAATAATATCATGGAGAAAAAAATATTTCTCTTTCATGCTGGAAAATAAATATTCTTCCATGATGATTTATATTATGCACCACAAATGACTCTGTCCTCCACCTTATGGTAACTCAGTAAGTGCATCACTTTGCACCTTTTGCAAACATGTAAATAATCTCAAGCAGACATTTCTTTTTTTTTTTGGTGGTTGTGTTGGAAAATATTCTTTGGTGAAAATTATAATACTAAACACAAGTTAAGAGAATGTAATAACATGTAAATAATCTTGCAGGGCTTATTATGGTAATGTAAACTTTTTTGGAGGGCCCTCATCCACATCTGTAAAAGCATCAGCAAAACTAAAGCAGTTGGAAGAGGAGAATGAGGACGCCATGTTTGTGTTTGTGTCTGACCTCTGGCTGGACCAGGTAGAAGTCATAGAGAAACTTCATGTCATGTTTTCAGGTATTTGCAAGACTTTACTGAGCACTATTTACATCTGAACTGACTACATAATATACAGTATCTCACAGAAGTGAGTCCACCCCTCACATTTTTGTAAATATTTTATTATATCTTTTCATGTGACAACACTGAAGAAATGACACTTTGCTACAATGTGACGTAGTCAGTGTACAGCTTGAATAACATGTAAATTTGCTGTCCCCTCAAAATAACTCAACACACAGCCATTAATGTCTAAACCGCTGGCAACAAAAGTGAGTCCACCCCTAAGTGACAATGTCCAAATTGGGCCCAAAGTGTCAATATTTTGTGTGGACAGCATTATTTTCCAGCATTGCCTTTAACCCTCTTGGGCATGGAGTTCACCAGAGCTTCACAAGTTGCCACTGGAGTCCTTCTCCATGACGATATCACGGAGCTGGTGGATGTTAGAGACCTTGCACTCCTACAGTCTCAGACCATGACACTCCCACCACCATGCTTGACTGTAGGCAAGACACACTTGTCTTTGTACTCCTTACCTGGTTGCCGCTGCACACGCTTGACACCATCTGAACCAAATAAGTTGATCTTGGTCTCATCAGACCACAGGACACGGTTCCAGCAATCCATGTCCTTAGTCTGCTTGTCTTCAGCAAACTGTTTGCGGGATTTCTTGTGCATCATCTTTAGAAGAGACTTCCTTCTGGGACGACAGTCATGCAGACCAATTTGATGCAGTGTGCGGCGTAAGGTCTGAGCACTGACAGACTGACCCCCCACCCCTTCAAGCTCTGCAGCAATGCTGGCAGCACTCATACGTCTATTTCCCAAAGACAACCTCTGGATATGACGCTGAGCACGTGCACTCAACTTCTTTGATCGACCATGACGAGGTCTGTTCTGAGTGGAACTTGTCCTGTTTAACCGCTGTATGGTCTTGGCCATCGTGCTGCAGCTCAGTTTCAGGGGCTTGGCAATCTTCTTATAGCCTAGGCCATCTTTATGTAGAGCAACAATTTTTTTTTTTTTCTTCAGATTCTCAGGGAGTTCTTTGCCATGAGGTGCCATGTTGAACTTCCAGTGACCAGTATGAGAGAGTGAGAGCAATAACACCAAATTTAACAACCTGCTCCCCATTCACACCTGAGACCTTGTAACACTAACAAGTCACGTGACACCGGGGAGGGAAAATGGCTAATTGGGCCCAATTTGGACATTTTCACTTAGGGGTGTACTCACTTTTGTTGCCAGCGGTTTAGACATTAATAGCTGTGTGTTGTTATTTTGAGGGGACAGCAAATATACACTATTATACAAGCTGTACATTCACTATTTACATTGTAGCAAAGTGTCATTTCTTCAGTGTTGTTACATGAGAAGATATAATAAAATATTTACAAAAATGTGTGGGGTGTACTCACTTCTGTGAGATACTGTAGTTCTTGTACGGTGTAAAACTTTAGTTTCCTTAACTTATTCTAGGAATAAAAAAACTGACATCCCCATGCCTCTAAAGCTAGCCCTAAACGGTGTGATTTTCTTTCCTGCAACCATGGGTTGCTGGAAAGAAAATTGCTTGATTCTCCCAGCAACACAAGCAGTGTTGATGGGGGAATCCCTCCCGCTGAGCTATAGTGTTCTCCCAGCAGGGGGTGCAGGGATCTGTCCCTGCCAGGAGATCAGTGATTTACTGCTAGCAGGAAATAGCCACTGGCAATATTCACATGAAAAATGTTACAGGTTGGTTGTAGCCAAGTCATACAACAATCAATTTGGGTGCAATCAGCCTGTCCATAGATGGTTCGAGTCTCGGCCAGTCCCTGGTGAATCGGCCAAGATTCAAACCATCTGTGGCCAGCTTAACAGTCATTCGCATGTTTAAAAAAAGAATGTAGACCTGTTTGTTCCAACCCCTATCATAAAGTTATAGCCCTCAATGATGGGGCTATAACATTAACCCCCACCCCAGGATCTCAGAGCAAGTTAGGCACAGACAGCAATTCATTCAGGCTGTCTTGCTTAGTACATTTTCATGCTAGCTTCAGAATTCAGACAGAATTATTACCAATATAAAATCATTTTAAGATCTTAATGATGTCATTTCAAACAGTGGAAATGTGTGTACAGTAACATTAGATTCACTGGCCCAATGGCCTACCCTCCGCAGAGCTATATTTAATTCTCTAATGCCTATAATATTTAATATGTAGATTAAAGTGGAACAGCAGTCTTGGTTATAACAGACTGTAGGAAGCTATTATCGCAAGAGACAACGTTCCTTCTGCAATAATATGTGCCTGCCTGCCCACAGCGATCTCCGGCATGTAAACTGGAGTTGGGCTTTGATTCAAGGAAATCTTAGTGGGAGAGCCCCAGAGCTTTACAACCTTGAGTTCAGTTATGACTAGGGAGATTCTCTATATTGAAACTGCTGGAACCCCATGCATTTTAACTTGCACAGACTTAATGTCTGAACCAGCAGGATGGGGTAAAGTTCTGTACTTGTCAAGAAGAGGTAACAACCAATCGGTCCTTGTGCACAAAGATCTTCAGTCAAGCTAAGAGGTTTTTGTGTGCAAGGATGATCTAACATTTGGAAGTGCCTGCTGATGCCCCAGAGCTGAGATTAATCATACAGGGCTGAGTGTTACATCAGTCCTTCAGATTGAAGCTAGGGTAGGCCAAATATTGCTACCCTTAATGTTCTAAATAGATTCCTTTCAGGTTTGTTTAATGGATTTTACTGTTAATATGTTATTGGTAGACAAGGAGCTAAACATATTGTGTGATCTTTTCAGGTTACTCCACAGCTCCACCTACCTGCTTCATCTTCTGTGGAAACTTTTCTTCTGCACCATATGGGAAAAATCAGATTAAATCTCTAAAAGGTATACAGATTTATACGACAAATGGTTTTCCTTAATTAATGAGAAATAATTTGGTCTGCCCTATCCCGTGGGCACTAGGCAGCAGTGTTCTCCTTTACCTTGTTGCTAGGACGTGAAAACGATATGGGCGCTCACAGCAAGAATTACAAAACCAGCAGGTTTCACCTTCTAGCAACAAGACAGGACAGCAGGTTGCTAACTGGTGATTTTTCCTTCCTTACCAACTTGTGCAAAGCCTCTGAAGGATGAACTATACCAGTCTCATGCATTCCATCAAAACGCTGTTATATATGCATCTATATAGGAATACTGTAAATGGAAAAGTACTACTAAGAAGGTTAAATTAGTCAATAAGGGGCTGTTCTTTTTCTGCCGTCTCTTGTCACTAATGGTTTCTGAATTGTGATGGTTTTGAAGGAAAGAACTAAATAAGAAGGTTTTTTTTTACTTTCAGATTCATTCAAAAGTCTAGCAGATGTGATATCTGAGTACCCCAACATTCACAAAAGGTAATCCCTTCCTTTTTCTTTTCTTTTTTTTCTGCTAATATTCATTGTTGGGGACTTTGGGAAACTCTGGGACTCATTTTTCAACTAGTACTGGGAGAATTAAAGGGAGAGTCAGTTTACTATAGGCAAATGATATGAGACTTTTTTTATGACTTACAGTATGTCTGTATTTTATATGGTATAACCTGCTTTTGGAGATGCATGGGGGGACAGGGGAATGTTAAATTCATTTGTTAATATTTTTCTGATGCTTTTTTGATGTTTGATCTTTAACAGCAGCCGATTTGTGTTTGTACCCGGTCCAGAGGACCCAGGCCCTGGTTTTATATTGCCAAGGTACGTTTATTTCTCTGTGGCATGTCGTTGGTTGTGTATAGTTTGTTGTCCTTGGAAAATGTGTAATGCAGACTTGTACTCAAAGTTAACCTAAAGCTTTGTTTTAGAGTTTTGGTGGTCTTGGCACGTCTGTCATTATTTATCCAGCCCAGACAAGCTGTTAACATAGCTTTGTCTATTTCTGTATACATCTAGTATAAAGTAAGTTCACTTTATGTGTGAAGCTTCAGCAACTTAATCCTCCTGCCGGGTGGGTTTAGCTGAAAAAATTTATATCCACCAAATGATTGTTAGTCAGTGGCATCCCTTAAATTGCATTTAGGTGTTTTTTACTGGGACACAGCTTGCAGTAACAGATGATGGTGATAATAACAAGAACTACAGTAGCTCTGGGCATCGGCCCCTTGCCAGCTGTCTTTTCTCTGAGTCTGAAAATATCTTGGAGGCCATGGAAAAGGACTCCACGTAAACTCAATACATTTGGGAATCACTGAGCAGACTGCGACCTTATGTATTACGTTTCACCAGGCTTAGAAGTTTGAAAATGTTGATGACATCACTTATGGAAACTGACGTGTGGCAAGCATCTTTTGTCACCAAATCTAGATATTCCAAGGAGTTTGAGTAAACATTTTTATAAGTAAAAGCAAATAAATACTTCTGGGTTTTTTTTTTTTAAGTTACAGTATGAGGCTGGTGTTCTAGTTACTGAATGTTTTTCTTACAGGCCGCCCATAGCAGAGCATATCACAGAGGAATTTAGGGAACGAGTCCCATTCTCCATTTTTACCACAAATCCATGCAGGTGAGTTGTATGTTTGATGTGAGGTTTTGGACTTGCCAAGTGTCTTTTAAAATATTCAGTTAGTGACGACTTCAATATTGCAGTGTTTTCTATCATGATTAAAGTACCTATCTGACCCTGTTGGAAATCCTGTTGCAAAACTATGGTCATTAAAAGAGAAGTATGGCTTTCTTGAAAAAATATTTATACTCTCCTACCCTGCCAGCCCCCTTTAGCTCTGCACTGAGGACTGAGTGATCATACACAGCTGAACGTTCAGTTCTCCCCTTCGCTTTGAGCAGTGAGCCATGACTGTCAGTCACTGGCTTTCTGCTCTGTCCCTCCAGCACTCACTGGAGCGCTGGGCTGTGGAGGGTGCTGGCTCAGGCTCTCAGTGGCTCGTTGAGAGGCTGAGCAGGTGCTGGTCCAGTCTCCTGGGAGGATCTCGATCATATGGTCAGGATCTTTTCAGAGCCTGGACCGGCTCTGTGACAGAAATGCTTTGCCTATGCTTGAATATGATGTTGTCCAGCCCCGTTTTTGAAGCTATGATATCTCCTCCCTCAGAAGGCTTTCCACAAGATCTTGAGGTCTTGTATGTGGGAAATTGTTTCCATGCAGCCAAAAGAGCATTTTTCAGGTCAGGTACTGTACTTTTAAAATACCTCAAAGGCATTCATGGGGGATGGGTGATAGTACTGCTCCTCTGTTGATAACAATGAGCAACTGTTGTCACCCAGTTACGCAAAGTGTGTTACCTGCAGGCTTACCAGGTGAAAAAAAAAGGATGGAAGCCTGGGAATAAAGGGAACATTCAGACATTGTCTATTTGTCCTTCTCATTCTGTTATAAATTGTACTGAAGTAATATGGAACACCCCATTACTGACCCCTCCCCCTTTTGAGAAAGATAGTTGCCTGGCTCTCACGCTAAATCCAGTGTCATTGGTTCTGTGAGGCACAGATTTGGAACAAATATGCAGATCAGGAGTTCATGATTGCTGCCTGCTTGTTCCAGATCAGAAAATTCAACTATTGAAGCCGCAGAAAACCAGACAGTTAGAAAAATAAGATTTGCCACTGCTAATCTTCTAAAAATGCTAACAGGATTTGCTTAAGCAAATACCCTGATATGCCATTTTTGATCTCTGGTTGTTTGTGGTATATGGTGTGCTGGCCACCAGATAACGTTTTACTGCTGTAAATGCATTCCCTGATTGTTTCCCAGCAGAAAATGTAACACCCACTTACATACTTGGCTCCCTGATGTACTTGTAAGCATATGTTTAGAAATATTCCTAGATTGTAAGCTCCAGGGAGCAGGGCCCTTTGTGTTTCGCACTGTATTGTTGTTGTACTGTCTCATGTATTGTCCCCCATTGTAATGTACAGCGCTGAGCAAACTGTTGGCGCTATATAAATACTGTATAATAATAATAATAAATATGACATGCAAGGTATAGCGATCCTTTAATATGGCAATAAACTTTTGACAGGATATCGGTAGGTAGCACACTGGTACTCTTATTGCTGTCTGTTGCAGGATTCAGTATTGCACACAGGAAATTGTTGTATTCCGCGAGGATCTGGTCAACAAAATGTGCAGAAATTGTGTTCGCTTCCCCAGCAGCAGTTTGGACATTCCCAGCCATGTAAGTATCAAACAACAATAATGTTTTATTGGAGGACGTGGGCTTTTTGTAAATATGGTTTATTTGTAGTAAAATGATGGATGGGGTTATTGGTAAAAATTTGAAGACATTCAATCCTAATGTCTTTATTATACGTGTAAGCTAACATTTTTATGTATCATAAATGTCTTCATAGCCAATATACCTTTTAATGTGCATATAAAGATGTCGGTGTGGCCATGCACAGCACTATGTAAGAGACTTGGGCATCGTTCAAATGCGCTGTGCTATAATGTACTCCCAAAGTAAGATCTGTTTATCCGCATGCAGATGCACAAGTGTCCGCTGCTCACAATTTAACATCCATGTGAGTGCACAGCCCCAGACCGTGCGTTCTGGGCCGTGCACCTGCACAGATGTCAGATTGGGAGCAACAGCTGTGTCCATTGCTTCCAAATTGACATCACTGGAACTTGCTATACAGGGATGCACAGAACACTTGTGCAACCCTATGCGGGTAAATGTGGCCCTCACACAGGCATATCTTGTAGTAAGTCCTGTGTGAACAAGGCCTTAAAAGGAAATACATTTTTAACCAATTATATTTCTACCTTTTTTTTTTTTTTTTTTTTTCTTTTTTTTTTAAGGTGTATGTAAACCATCACCTAGTAAAACAACACAGTTTCAAATAGAACTGAAAGGCAAAACATTAGTGTATATTAAAAATATTTTTTTTAATAATTAAGTAAATAAATAAAATATATAACTAACTACGAAACCCATATCTCTGTTCTCAGCTAAACATGGACCTTGGAGAGCTGGGGTAGGAGAATCAGCAATACACTGGTCTTCCCAGTGTGTCAGCACAAGTCTGATCATTGGAGGAGAGCAAGCTGAGTTCCCAGTACAGCTATAGAACTGACCGTGCTGTGTTCTCCTGCCTAGTGTGGTCAGTTTTTAATAGGAAAGCAGATGGACTGGCAGGAACACCAAGGATTTCACACAAAGGAAGCCATACATAGAGAACAGGATACCTTTCCATACAAGTACATGGTACAGAAGACACATATTAGGAATATGAAATCTTAGGTTTATATAAATTAACTATAAAGGATTTTTTTTATGATTCTTTAAAATTGCTATTTTAAAAATTAGCACTTCTTACAAGGAGCATCCAAAATGTTCAGTTTTTGAAAAGCATGTTGGATTTTCTAAAAAAAAAAAGCCCAACACCACCTTTGTACAGCAGACTGTCTTAATCCACTAGTTAGGATATTGCTGTGTCTGCTGGCAGCATGTGAGCGAGTGTGTCCCCTTTGGCTCCATGTTTATCACAACATCCTTCTGAATAAAAATATAATTCATATCATGCAGGGCTACACCCGCTGTATTCAGGTAGTAGTTGACTTGTTTCGGGTCAGTGATAACTAGCATTTTTAGGAGAGGTTTTCAGTGGTAGCCTAAGTATTCCTTATTTTTATTTTTTTGTTGTAAATAATAGTTTTTATTGAAGATTTCTTAATAAAACAAACAGGAAATCTGTACATAAGCTCACTGTATAGCAAAGCTCATAAAAAGAGAGCTATGAAAATACTAAAGAGGTTCAACAGTTATTCATAGACAAACCAGGCTATGGGGACACATAAGTCCCAAAAGTCATGATCACCTATGATGTGCAAGTAATAAGCTAGGGTAGCCGTGAACCTCTAAAGCTGACACTTTTTTATTTTTATTTTTTTTAACTTTAGTTGCAACAAATGGGCTTGCAAGGTTTAAAGCAACTCTGTCATCACCTAACAGATTAAAAAGAAAATGCTGCATGGAGTGGATGGCTTCTACTGGGTCACTACTTTGTCCTGTATGGATCTAGGGGGTCAGCAGGAGGAAGCACATAGGGGACCCGCTGTGGATGCAGAAGATTCATCAGGCAGTGTTTTCTTTGTTAGGTGGTGTCTTTTAGGCTGGCCATACATTATACAATTTTCTTGAGATTTTTTGTTTAGATTTACCAAAAACCATGTAATAGGAAGTCAAAACTAGCAACACTTTAAATTGTATCCAGTTAGGCAGGCTCCTGCACTATATAGTTGAAGGTAAATCTATAGGAAATTGGCCAGAAAATTGTATAGTGTATGGCCAGCCTTAGCTACATAAGTGTCTGAAGTTCTCATTCTAAAATGTGTTGCCAGTCGTTAATCTTTCGTTGTTTTCTGATAGAAAATGAAACACGCCTTTTACTGCACACAGA